TTCGCCCATAGAAAACGGTAGAGCGTTTTTTTTATACTTTTTTTTTAACCTTATATATATAATTACATAATTTATTATACATAATATATGCCAATAGAGAGCTACAAGTACTCGAACAGTACCTCCCAAGAAGTCGCTCACCGAGTTTCGTCTGCCCCGGCAGCGACCTGACGAAGGAGATGCACCGGGGCCGCCCGAAGTCCATCGGCGGGAAGAACGGGTCGCCCGGCGGCACGGGGATGGGGAAGCACTCCGGGTGGACCTGGTGCGAACTGTCGCAGGATCGGCAGTCCAGCACCGACTTTTGGAAGCCTGGCGGTCCGATTCATTTATTTTAATCATTTTATTTCGATAGGGTGTCGGCACAGATCATGACTTAATGAATGGTATTTAGCTCGTTTTTTGGGGATAATTTATCCTCGTGGATGAGAAGGATCTGTTTCAATTTATTCTTGTGTCAAAAGTTTTTTCTAATGCATAGATTTACAAAGACCTCATCGATAGAAAGAATTAGGATCTACGACCCGCTTCCTTATTTCTTGAACGATGAGGCCGATTTATGATAACGGTCTTCGACACTACCATTAATCGAGTCAAGATTTAAACATACGAATTCGACGACACGTACCTCTGTGGACGGGAGTCATGGTGACGTCGTGATCGAGGAACTGGCCGAACTGCATGAACACGAGGGAGTACCGCTGGTTCGGGTGCGAGACGTCGGGATGGACGAAGGTGGAGATGACGCGGGGGGACGGAAGGGGCCCGCCGAGGACGGAGCGGAGGCGGGGGGTGCTGATCCCTAAAGGGGGGAAAGGAGGAGGTCGGTGGAGGTCGCTCCCCGGATCGGAGGCTGCGGGTCGGGCGGAGCGGAGCGGCAGGGGAGCGGGGCTCGCAGGCTCATTTTGGACGGACGGTGGTTACGCGACAGGTTGAGGAAAGGCTCTGTGGGGTCTTTCGACTCTAGGGGCGTCTACCGAACGTTTACGTTGGGCGTGAGAGTGGAGGAAATGTCTGCTCTTGTGTGTGGGCTCGTGTGAAAAAAATGGCTTGCAGTGAAACTCATCGGTGAGCTCATCGCGAGAGTACTGTCTGTAATCATACAATAGGCTTCACCATTTTTCATGCCTTAATCACGCGAGTCTCTACTTCCACTCTCCCGCTTGGAAAATTTGCTTCATTTTGCTCTCCATTTTTTTCTTGGATGATGTAAGGGGAAGGGCCATCTGCATTTCAGCTCGTTTTACATTTGCGTTTTCATCGAAAGGTTTACTCACCGTCCTCGTACTTGGGCGCCAAGAGCCGATCGAAGAGCGTGAGCTCCTTCCCGAAATGGGGCGCGGCCAGGTTATTGCACCACCCGGAGAACGTGCGGAAGGGGCTCTTCGGGTCGCAGGGGCGGGTCTCCTCCCCGTCGGGGCAGAAGGACGGGGGCGGCTGGGGGAGGCGGTCCCCCACGAACACGGCGTTCAGCTCGGGCCCGCGAGGGAGGAAGAGGGCCTGGCGCTTCAGCCGGAGACTCGCGGTTCGATTCGGGGACTTCCTGTCGGGAAGAGGATTCTTTTGTGGTCCGAACCGATCGAAAAATAAACTTTTTTTTGTTGGTCGACCTCTTTCGAACTCGATCGTTGCCGGCATTTGCCACTCACAAGATCACGTTGGCACGATCTAAATTACGGAAGACCTCATCGAAATGCAATTCGTGCGTTTTACAGCATGCATGGCATTTCGTATCGACCGTTACGACGGGTTGCGATCGGAAAGACGAATATTTCCAGACGGAAGAGAGACTGACAGCAAGAAGAGGTTGGTGAGTTCTTGCGTGACGAATTCCAAGACGATGGAGGTGTTGGCAACCCGCAAGGCCGCGTCGTTCGGCTGCTGGAAGCCGGAGGCCTTCCAGATCGCCGAGTCCGGTGAAACCACTCGACCTGAGAGGGGGAAGATGAGATTCTCTTGGATTCGGACCGTTCGGTCGGTTCGACGGTGTGGGGACTCGGACCTCGTTCGAAGACGAGTTTTTCCATGTCCTGTCGCTTCTTGAGGCTTTCCTTCGCCTTCTCGACGGAGAGGTCCAGGAGTCGAGGAGGGACGATCAGTTCCCGGGGGCCGACTTCTCTCCACGGCTCCAGGGACATCCGGCGGATCGTTTTGCACATCACGGGGGCGTTCCTGCGCAAAATATCGATTTTTTGTCGGCGACGACGACGTGCGAGGGCACGGGAGGACCGCAACTGCCGAGGAACTCACAGAAATGGGTCGGGCACGAGGAAGACTTGGGATTGGACTCGTTCGAGGCCGGAGTTCACGCACAACAAGGACGCCAGAGTGACTTTCTTGATTTCTGCCAATTGCTCTGTCGAGTTCCAAGCAGCGACAGGAATATCACGCAATTTTCAAAATGCAACAATTGATTTTGCAAAAACGGATTTGGGCAAAGAAATCGACTGAAAAATCCAAACCGCAGGCTGAAGTCGATCGACCCTAGACCGAAACGGCAACATCGACTCGTTTCCTCGTCGACGACGGAACTATTCGACGGCCACGTGCCGTAGTACACTGACCTTTGGAGAACTGGTTGGGTGGGAAGTCGTTCTCGTACCAGAAGCGATCCCCCAGCCGGACGCGCTTCAGCTGCTCGCCGAGGAGGCAGGAGAAAGTGCGACCGAGGAGGCCGCCGTGTGCGGGGCCTTCCATCAGGCCCCCCGCCACCAGGTCCACGTCGTTCGGCGACCTGTCGAGGGATGACGGTGGGGGGGGGGGGGGGGGGGGGGGGGGGTCTCTGTCAAGGGATGACGGTGGGGGGGGGGGGGGAGGTCGGTGCGGTCTAAGCGGTGAGAGCCGGTCTCGGCCGTGAGAGTCCTCACCCGTAGAGTTCCTCGAGGCTCGCGATCCCGGCGGAGGAGATGTCGTCCGCGAGGTCGGAGAAATTCTTGCTCGTTCCGAGTCCGCACCGTTCCCTGTATTTTGCGTATCCGGGAAGCCCGTGGTCTCGCTCTTGCTGCACCATGTATGCCCACAGGTCCCGACTCGCTTCTGCAGTGTCGATCGAGGATACGAGGCTCATAACTTTATCGTCTAATGTCAAATATCAACTAATCAAGTACCGACGCCAGTCGGTCAAGTATCGGCGCGAAAACCTGTAAATTGTTAAAAGTCCGACTAAGTACTTTTTCGCGTCTGCATTTAAATATCTTCAGAATGTACTTTGCCAAACGATTCTTTGCGTGCAGTGCAAACAATACTCTCTGCAGTAACCTAACGGGAACCTCAATATTTGCCGTGGTTCACAGAACGTTCCTAAACGTTGCTTCATCTTTGAGTGGTGATTCCGAAGCGATACCTTCGCTGCCGAAGGCGGAGCTGAGGGTCGGCGTGCTGGAGACGAGGAGACCCGAGAGGAGAGAGTCCAGGTCGGAATTCTCAAACTTGTTCACCTCCTTCGTGCTTGTCGCCTGCGATGTAAAAATTATAAATAAACGATAGCCAGGCCGACTCCAGCCGACGTTCGAGTATCGGCCGGATCTGATGGCCGGATTCGAGGGCCGGCTCCGTGCCGGATACGGACCGCTCGCACAAACAACTTTCTCTCTCACCTGGTCGACGGGAGTCGGGGGGAAGGTGGTGCCGAGGAATCCGACGACACCGATGGCAACACTGTTCTCGATCCCTGGGTCGACCTTCGAATCGTATCCGGTAAAGTAACCGCTTGGGTCGATCTCCAAACCCGCGTTCTTGTACTGAACCTGGAAGCAGCGTGCGAACAAACGCTCCAAACATCAACAAAATCGAAGTTTTCTCTAAACGCATTCAGATGAATACGTTCGAGTGTTTCGACTCGAATCTTGAACCTTTCGAACATTTTGGTTACATATTTCACTCATGACTGTACCAGTACTAGTACTTTTTCTGGGGAAGTCACTATTTTTTCACTGACCCCATCGAGGATCGTTTTGAGGAACTCGTCATAGGTGATGTGTTGGATTTCGGCGATGAGGATCCGCCTCGCTTCCTGGAAGAGCGTCTCGTCCTCCCAGTGAGGATTCAAGGTTGCCAACACCTTGGCGACCCTGTTGTGCTCCCTCATCAGCAGGATCATCAGGCTAGTCTGCCCCGTCTGGTTTACCGAACACCTGTCACAAAACCAAAAGCTCAAAAAAAAAGAATAAATAAACCACAGACATCCCGAGGCCGTGAGGAGGCCATGAGGAGGCCACGACTCACCCCCCGGCATGGCGACAGAGAGGAAAGCCGCCGGTCTCGGGTCCCAGCTGGCCCTTCCGGAAGGACCGCACCGCCTTCGACTCCTCTTCCGACGACCCGTAGAGGACGGAACCGTCCAGGAAGGCCGTCGCCGTGTTCGTCTCTTTCCGAGACCCTGCCGAGGGAGAATTCCTTCCCCATGTATCGATTTTAAATATTTACTGCTGTAAAAATATTGCAAATCAAATGTTGACATTTTAATATGTACTAGATCCAAATGAGGAGATGATTACAACAGAAAATTATAAACTGATCAAATTTTTAAAGCAATCTTCCGGCTCTGAAATAATTTGCATAATTTCTTCCATTTTGCAATTTAGAAAGCAAAAATATTTACCCGGGCTGCAGGAAACCTCGACGGCTCGACGTTGATCGATGCAGCCGGACGGGTCTCGCTCCGTGCAATTCCATTCATCATCTGGAAAACCAAATCGAGTTCGGGCGCGTCTCGATCGATCATATCTGCCTGCAGATTTTTTTTTTTGCAAGGGCTGGAGCGCCACCTGGATCCTTTGTTCGATGATTCGTTCATGAAACGAAGGTTCCGGAAAGGCTCGGAGATTTAAATCATGCAGAGAGAGCATTAGGGTGAGAACGCCCACCGTCGCGCGACAGGAAACTCCAGACGATGCAAAATTCATCGGATCTCCGTGATGCGTTGCCGGAGCTCAAATTGATAAACATATAAATACTAATGCCCGAAACATTTACGTGCGATCGGGAGGTTGTCATGGATGATGCACAGTCCCTTTTGGCAAGAGACAAGGATGCAAATGGAACGTGTGACCCATTTACGCGGGACACGTCACATTTTCCACCGGTGTCCCGCTTCCGTTTTTTTTTTATATTTTTTTTTCTGCCGGCAGACTTTTCCGGCTCTCGACGAGGCGTGAAACCAGAACCAGATCGACTTTCTTCGCCTGCGCGTAAAATTGCTTGCAGGAAGGAATCCGGGACGTACCTCGAAATCCGTGTAGCCGTGCGACGTCGCTGGCAACGAGCCGCCCCCAGAGAGGCGCCACGGCGGAGACGAACTCGTTCCCTTTCGCCAGGGCCGCGAGGCTCTCCGCCACCGACTGGGGGAGGGGGCCGCCGCGCGGCGAGGTCTCCCCTGAGGGAAGGAGGTCAGTTGCAGTAGGCTTTCGTCGCAGGGATGCCAGATTTTTTTTTTTTTTACTCTGGGCGCTCGTGAGGGGTTGCTGGGGGAGACTTTACAGGAACGATATGTACGCTTCGTACAATATGTATGTTTGCTTCCTGAACTCTGGCAGATGGACACCAAATCCGAGAGAGAGAATCGGCTTCCCCTCTCGCAACACACACGGCTTCCCAAAAGCCTCAACCTCAACCCC